GCCCCTGACTGCCCCCAGACCCCCCGCCCCTGACTGCCCCCTGCCACTCTATCCAACCCCTCCTCTCATTCCTGACTGTCCACCTGGGACCCCTGCCCCCATTCAACCCGCCCTGTTCCCCGCCCTCTGACCGCCCCAACCCCTATCCACACCCCCGCTCCCTGACAACCAACCGGAACTCCCCTGCCCTCTATCCAACGCCCCTGCTCCCTGCCCCCTTACCGCACTGCCTGGAGCCAGCCATGCCACCATGCAGCACAGAGCACCAGGTCAGGCTGTGGCCAGGGCCGGCTCCAGGCGCCAGCGACGGAAGCAGGTGCCTAGGGCAGCCAATAGAAAGGGGCAGCAGTCCGTCCGTTATTGGGGCAGCACTTCGGCGGCAGCTCAAGCACCCCGTTTTAATCTTCGGGGAAAATTCGGGCGCGAGTCCTTCACCCCGTCTCTTCCTCTTCGACGGCAGCTCAATTGGGTTTTGTTTAGTTTTTTCTTCTCTTTGCCGCTTGGGGCGGCTAAAAAGCTGGAGCTGGCCCTGGCTGTGGCGCAGTGAGCTGAGGCTGCGGGGGAGGGGGAACAGCAGGGATGGGGCCAGGGGCTAGCCTCCAGGGCCAGGAACTCAGGGGAAGGGCAGGGGAGTCCCGTGGGCTGGATGTGGCTGTAGTTTGCCCACCTCTGAGCTAAGCAGGACGGTAGTTCGGGGGGAGAACAGGAAGCTTTAAGAAAGGCTGAAGCAGGCAGGACTAGATGCTGCTACTACAGTTCTCTTCCCTAGAAGCAAGCAAGGAGGGCTGGCTACGGATGGAAAATAGATGTAAATAGCACTACTGGCTGTGGCCTGCTAGAAGAATACAAGAAAACATGGTGGTGAAAGGGACCTAGGGTGAGTGCGGTCTGTGATTAAGGCCTGAAAGGACTCTCAGGGGGACCACCCCGTGACAGGGCTACATAACAGTTCAAGTGATCTCTCTCCTGCCATCCATCTCCACCCTCTGACAAACAGAGGCTAGGGACACCTTCCTTAGCCATCCTGGCTAATAGCCATTAATGGACTTAACCTCCATGAACTTATCCAGTTCTCTTTTAAACGCTGTTATAGTCCTAGCCTTCACAACCTCCTCAGGCAAGGTTGACTGTGTGCTGTGTGAAGAACTTCCTTTTATTTGTTTTAAACCTGCTGCCCATTAATTTCATTTGGTGGCCCCTAGTTCTTGTATTATGGGAACAAGTAAATAACTTTTCCTTATTTACTTTCTCTACATCACTCATGATTTTATATACCTCTATCATATCCCCCCTTAGTCTCCTCTTTTCCAAGATGAAAAGTCGTAGCCTCTTTAATCTCTCCTCATATGGGACCCGTTCCAAACCGCTAATCATTTTAGTTGCCCTTCTCTGAACCTTTTCTAATACCAGTATAGCTTTTTTGAGATGAGGAGACCACATCTGTACGCAGTATTCAAGATGTGGGCGTACCATGGATTTATAGAAGGGTAATAAGATATTCTCCATCTTATTTTTGGGCATAAGCTTTCGTGAGTTAAAACCTCACTTCTTCGGATGCATAGCTATGCATCCGAAGAAGTGAGGTTTTAACTCACGAAAGCTTATGCCCAAATAAATCTGTTAGTCTTTAAGGTGCCACCAGACTCCTTGTTGTTTTTGTAGATACAGACTAACACGGCTACCCCCTGATACTTGACTCCATCTTATTTTCTATCCCCTTTTTAACGATTCCTAACATCCTGTTTGCTTTTTCGACCGCCGCTGCCCACTGCGTGGATGTCTTCAGAGAACTATCCACGCTGACTCCAAGATCCTTTTTCCTGATTCGCTGTAGCTAAATTATCCCCCATCATATTGTATGTATAGTTGGGGTTATTTCTTCCAATGTGCATTACTTTACATTTATCCACATTAAATTTCATTTGCCATTTTGAAGTTCTTCACAGTCTGCTTTGGTCTTAACTATCTTGAGCAGTTTAGTATCATCTGCAACAGTTATACATATTCACTGGCTCCAACAGATCAAAACCCCTACATACATCCTTCAATCCCTAAATCAGCTGTAAACCAAGGATCTCTACTAGATTTCTACAATGAATTAGGTCCTCAATTAATGGAGACAATATCTTGGTAATACCTTTCCCAACTGCAGGTCACAGCATGATGCACTGACATTATCCCAGGTTATCTTTAATGAACAGTAAATGTGGTGCTAGGATTGAGAGTGCTGACAGAAGACCAACACACAGAGGCAGGTATCCTTACCAGCTTGGGCAGGCTCCTCCGGGAGAAGACTCGACGGGGACAGCGGAGGTGAAGATGAGCTGAGCACCAGCTTCTCATGTTGAGCCACTCCACAGTTCGGCAAGGGAGAGGCCCATCCTCTTTATGGAGCAGGATCAGCTGCTTCTGGGCTCGGACTGCTGTGTTCTCCAGCATCCTTTCTAGCTGAAGCACATTACACTCACACAGTCAGACATCCACTAGTACAGGGCCAATCTAACAGAGTACAGTATTTCTTACAAAAGTACACCACCTCTACTTTCCTCCACATTCCCATCTTGCTCCTCACGTCATCTGCATGTGCAGAGAGCTGTGTAAATGTGCACACTAGGACGAATCGCACAAAGGTAATTTAGGCTAATATATTTTCACCTTCCTTTGCATTTATGTGGCTACTCTTAACAATGTTAGCTAGTTAATTTTTCCCTGCTTGAAGATTAGCAGGAACTTATAAAGAGCCGTTTAAAGTAAACAAGTTGAACACTATTTCCATAGGTTTCAGGGTAGCAGCCGTGTTAGTCTGTATCCTCAAAAAAACCAGGAGTACTTGTGGCACCTTAGAGACTAACAAATTTATTAGAGCATAAGCTTTCGTGGGCTACAACCCACTTCTTCGGATGCATATATATATATATAAAAACTCCTGGTTTTTTTTGACTATTTCCATATAATGCCTACTGTACATCTAAACAAGATGGACATACGAAGCTCATATAAAATGAAATCTACTCCCAAGCTGATAAAAAGTAAAGGTTTAAAAATGCTTACTGCTGCTTAGGGTGTTCTTAGCCTATTTTACATGAGGACACTTTTTTCAAATATTCTTTTCTCCTTCTTCCATTCTTCCCTCCTTGTCTTCTTTACTTTTCATTATTATCATAGCTTAACTTACAGCACTCCCATTCTCCATCTACTCACTAGTTCTGTTCCAAGGCTGAGACAAGCCAGGGAGGTGAGGTATACAGAGATTGCAGGTGGTAGGTTTCCCAAAGTCCCAGGAGTTCAAAGAAACTTCCAGGGAGATGATAATGATAATGCACTATTTTATGCCCAAGGGGTATCAAATCCAAAGCCAGAAAAAGGCCTCAGTCACACAATAGGTTGTTTTGCAATTTTGCCCCCACCCTCAGATAAAAAGAAAGACATTCCGCACCTCTCCAACAGTGGGCTCCTGTTCTCCCAACCCTACTATTAAGATGCAGTCGGCCTGTCTGATACAGCGCTGTGTCCAAGGAGTAAGGGTGCTGTCAGACTGGTAGAGCACAATACGGTGAATATCTTCCTGCTGCCCCAGCCAGCTAGATAGCCTGTACTCATGGATACTGGGGGACACAAACAAACAAAACAATTATGATCAATTCACAGCAAGAATTCAGCCAGAGTGGAGGACTGAGCCCAGAGGGGAAATGTTGGAGGCTATAAACAGAAGCTGGGGTCACCCAAACATTTTTTAAATGGGACACGTCTAATGACTGAAAGGACTGAAATCTAACCTAGCTAAATATTCTTTTTTTAAAAAAACACTGTCTTCCTAATCATGGGGGAAGGGGGGAAATCTGTCCCTCCATCCACTGAACCTCTGCTAGAATCCCAGCTGCTCAGCTCCACTATCATCTTGGTATGGGAAAAGCCAGTCTGGAAAAAACAGAAGCCAAAACAAACCTTCCTCCATCCTCCGAGTTAAATGTGAGACACTCTTCACATGTGAATAAGAAATTCAATCCCTTAGAGTTCACACACAGCCAAAGCACCCTCCCCGCAGCCCTCTCCCCTAGGAGGATGCTTTCGGTGCAGCTGAACCCTGGCCACTGCCCATATCTAAGAGTGCACATTCCTGGGATTGTAATGTTCTCTGGGGTGCACAGCCCCAGAGCATGTGCACTTTGAATGCAATGCCACCAGAGAAGCTTTGCTCTGCAACAGGGTCTTCAAGAAGTGAAGGAGGAAGGTTGGCAGTTTTAATAGGGGTCATGGAGGAGGTGGAAGCCAGAGCCTCTTAGAGGGAAGTACAGACAGAAACATTTATAAAGTCTGGATCAGCATCGACAAAACTTCTAAAACCTTCAGGGTTCGGCCACAACCTTAACAAATCCAGGGCTAAGCTACTCTGCCGTCATCACAGGCTTTGCAAAGAAGCAGCACTGTTCTTCTGCTTTACTCTTGTAAACTAGCAGGGTATTGCCATTTTCAGGAATCCTGTTCTCAGAACCAAAGCTGAGCTAGAAGGTCCAGTTGTAATGAGCCTTTACCAAAGTTGCTATTGTAGAATCAGGTAAGACCCAGGTTCTATACTCCCAGACAGGCCGGCTGGGTAAGGAGATTCACAAGCAATACACAATACTGGAAATTAAGCTATTTGAGCACAGAAGTTAAGCGAAAAGAAAGCCTAACACATTTATAACTGACAAGCTTGAGAAATTCCTCATATTTGGGTTCAGTCTATGTCTCAGCTAACATTTCCAGGCCATTTATTTTCCTGCTATTTGTTCCATTAAATACACACACACTGAAGAACCAGGATATGCCTCTACCTAACATTAATCAGACATTTCATGACATTTTTACAAATGAATGCAAAACATCCACTCATTCAAGAACTAGGATAATTAACCTGACACCTATTTCAAAAACATATACTTGACAAGTGAAAAATGAGAGTCTGTGGAAAATAAAGTTTAAAAAAACAACTTAGCTCTATTTTAAAAAGGTTAGTATGCCTGACTTATTTTTTGATGGGAACGTAAATATTTTAGCAAATATTCCCCATGCTGAGTGTGTGATTTTTAGACAAGTGCATCTTGGGCCTTCCTTAGCATTGCTCAGTAAGTAGTGGGTCAAGGGAAATGGGTACCTGTCCAGTGCAGCAGAACCAAGCCGCTGTTTGATATTATCACTGGTGAGCAGCAAAGCAGGACCTAAGAAAATAAAAAATTGTTATACACAAACGCCTGCAGTCTGGTTACTGACAAGTCATTCAGAGAAAAAAGAACATACACACTACTTTATCAAAAGGCAGCATGAATCCACATTATTTCAAGTTCCTAAAGGACAACAGCACTGACACAGTGGTTCTCAACCCATGGGCGGCGGGCTGCTTGTGGCCCAATCAGTGCACAGCTGCGGCCCACGTGATATCCTTAGGGCCATACAGGTATGTATATTGTGTGGATGCAGCCCACATAACACATAGAAAGCTGTATATGCAGCCCACATTGGTAAACTGGTTGAGAACCACTGGACTAGAGTCAACGCAGAATAGAAGGGTCGGCTCCTGCAAACAGCTCTGACAAAGCACTTCCATAAAAGTACATAAAAGTTTGTTACAAGGAGGAGGGAGAAAAATTGTTCTGAATCTCTGAGGATAGGACAAGAAGCAATGGGCTTAAATTGCAGCAAGGGCGGTTTAGGTTGGACATTAGGAAAAACTTACTAACTGTGAGGGTAGTTAAGCACTGGAATAAATAGCCTAGGGAGGTTGTGGGTTCTCCTTCATTGTAGATTTTTAAGAGCAGGTTAGACAAGCTCCTGTCAGGGATGGTTTACATAATACTTAGTCCTGCCATGAGTGCAGGGGACTGGACTAGATGAGCTCTCAAGGTCCCTTCCAGTCCTACGATTCTATGATTCATGTTAACCTACAATGACTCCCTACCATAAACTCCCCAAACCCCAGAGCTTTGCTAATGCACATCACTCCTGACTAGAGCTGATCATGAAATTTTCAACAAAACATTTTTTTCAATCTGAAAATGCAAATTTGTCAACACAGAAACTTTTTGCAGCCATATACCTGTTTATTTTATATTTGAAATTTCAGGTCAACATGAGAGAAAGAGAAAGCAAGAGAATTTATCTCATTCAATCCAGAGATTTCAACCTGGACATCCCACATCCCAGGTAAGTGCCCTGACCATCAACCAAGCTATCGCTGTTCTCCATCGTCACTGGCCAACCAGCCCATGTTGTTCTAAATCAGGCTGTTTGGCTGCCTAGGTCAGTCAATCTCCTCTTCTCTCAGGGGTGGAATCGAATACCCATGTTCTCCACCAGTTTGTAATGGTCTCTACTCAGGGTCTGATTGGGAAGCGTGGCCTAGTGGTCATGGCCACAACCCCAGACTGTCCAGGAGGTTGTGGGGAGGGGAGCCCGGGCCCTTCCACTCCACCAGGCTCTGACCCAGGGCCCTTTGGGCTACCAGTAACCTGGCAACCAAGGCTATTTAAGGCTGTCCTCCCTGGGCGTCTTCCTCTCGTCTCCTCCCTGGGGTTAGCTCAGTCCAAGGTCTTTGCCTGCTAGGAAAATCCAAATCAAAAAGAAACAAGAGGGAGTTGCCACTGTCCAGGGCCACAGGATACTTCCCTCTCTGCTTGTCTCTATGGAGGGTCCTCCCTTCCCTCACAGAGGGCCCCTTTGGGCAGCTGCGTTAGAGCCTTTAGGTTTCACTCTGCTCTGCTGGATCTATGGGCTGAAGGTCTGCTCACCTTTAGCGCTGCTAACCAACTGAGCTAATTCGCTGACTTTTCATTCCTCCAGCAGATGGAGCATTTGCTGCAGGTGTGGTGGTGCAGGGTTGGCTGAGCCAAAATGAGCCCTTAAGCCCTTGTTGCTTAGTGTGGGGTTTGTACACCCCATCACGGTCCCTAAATCCATGACCTTGCACTTCGCACTATTAAATTTCATCCCATTTCTGTTACTCCAGTTTTCAAGGCCATCCAGATTGTCTTATATGACAGTCCTCCATATTGGCAATACCTCGCAACTTTGTGTCATCTGCCAATTTTATTAATACACTCCCATTTTTTGTGCCAAAGTCATTACAAAAATATTAAATAAGATGAGTCCCAAGGCCAGTCTGTGAGGAACTACACTAGTAACCTCCCTTCAGCCTGACAGTTCACCTTTCAGTATGACAGTGATTTTTGTGACATGAACAAAAATGTTGACCAGGTATGTGGATTAAAAGCATCAAACACCTTTCTCGGTTGTGGAAACCCTGGTTTCTAAGAATGACAAGCTAAATCATCAACCCATTGAACCACCTAGCCCCCATAAGATGGGCACTGGGGGCCCCCTTCCACATGCATTGGGGCCTCCCTCAGATGGAGTTCTAAAGATTTCCCTGTTCAATCCCCAACAAGGCTTTATTTCCAAGTCACCATCCTCCAAGCACAAAAAGACAGCAATGGGCAGTCCTTCACCGTATGTCAGTGTTGCTCCTAAATTGGACTATTGGGTCATAGTTAAGGTCTCGCACATGGACAGTAGAACAGCACCATTATGCCACTGAAGCAACATTTCAATGCACATAATTAATAAGATTTTTTTCTTGCTGCCATTTTAGTCAATATTTTTATTAGCTGCTCTGTTTTATTAGTTGCAATAAATGTTGTAGGTGACAATGTTTTCCCACCAGAATAACTGCGCCTACACACTCAAGACACGAGAGAAATTCAAGGAATTAATCTCATGCTGAAAAGAAAGGTCCTCTCACATACTGAAAGAGATATTTGCTAAAATTTAGCAAAACATGAAATAAAAATCCCACTGCACTAACGTTTTCCCATTGTAAGCACTCATTTTATTGTTAATGCAAGAACAGAATCTATTAAAAATTATATGCTATTTCTTAATACATTAAAAAGCAATATTGTTTAGTGCAGTGAGCAAGGTGCTGGAAACCAGGCACTGATGACTTTAATTCTGGTTCTGTCATAACTTGTTATATGGCCTTAGACAAGTCACACAGTTTCTCTATGTAACCCATAGAAACCACACGATGGTAAGAAAATGTTACAATTACACAGCTAGGCACTGAAAAGATGGGACATGACAATGGCAAAGTGCTGTGCACTTCCTTAACACTGCCTCTTTTAGCTTTAATTACGCACGATTAAGGCCCTACCAAATTCATGGTCCATACTGGTCAATTTCACGGTCAGAGGATTTAAAAAATAATAAACTTAATGATTTCAGCTATTTAAAGCTGAAATTTCATGGTGTTGTAATTGTAGGGGTTCTGACCCCAAAAGGAGTTGTGGGGGGTCAGAAGATTATTGTAGGGGGAGGTTGTGGTACTGCTACCCTTACTTCTGCGCTGCTGCTTTCAGAGCTGGGCAGCTGGCCAGCAGCAGCACAAAAGTAAGGATGGACTGGTATGATATTGCCATCCTTCTGCATTGCTGCTCAGTCAGCAGCTGCCACTCTCCGACTGTCCAGCTCTGAAGGCAATAGCGCAGAAGTAAGGATGACATGGTATGGTACTGCCACCCTTACTTTTGTGCTGCTGCTGGTGGGGCACTGCCTTCTGAGCTGGGCGTCCGGCCAACAGCCACCGCTCTCCGGCCATCCAGCTCTGAAGGCAGCGCAGAAGTAAGGGTGGCAATACTATGACCCCCTAAAATAACCTTGTGACCTCCTGCAACTCCCTTTTGGGTCAGGACCCCCAATTTGAGAAATGCTGGTCTCCCCTGTGAAATCTGGTTAGTATAGGGTAAAAGCATACAAAACACCAGATTTCACAGTGGGAGATCAGATTTCATTATTGTTTATATTACAGTGAACCTCACTACAGGATTCCAATGTGCCAAAGTACTAAGGGATGGCATTTGAATATCCAAAAATAAGTGGTCAATTGTCCAGTCAAATATTGTCTAAAATGGTCAAATATTTTAAAGTGTTACTTTTTTTTGTTAGTGTTCGAATAAATTAAGACTTTATGCTCTCCAGTAGGCTTAGCCTTAGATAGATTCTTATTAGGGCTGTTGATTAATCGCAGTTAACTCATGCGATTAACTCAAAACAATTAATTGAGATTAAAAAAATTAAATGCAATTAATCGCAGTTTTAACCACACTGTTAAACAATAGAAGAGCAATTGGAATGTATTAAATGTTTTTCTGTATTTTCAAATATATTGATTTCAATTACAATGCAGAATACAAAGTGTACAGTGCTCACTTTATATTTTTTTTATTACAAATATTTGCACTGTAAAAATGATAAACAAAAGAAAGTATTTTTCAATTCACCTCATACAAGTACTGTAGTACAATCTCTATCGTGAAAGTGTAACTTACAAATGTAGATTTTTTTTTGTTACATAACTGCACTCAAAAACAAAACAATGCAAAACTTTAGTTTTCACTCAGTCTACTTCTCCTTCAGTCAATCACTTAAGACAAACAAGTTTGTTGACATTTACAGGAGATAATGCTGCCCGCTTCTTACAACGTCACCAGAAAGTGAGAACAGGCATTCGCATGGCACTTTTGTAGCTGGCATTGCAAGATATTTACGTGCCAGATATGCTAAACATTCATATGTCCCTTCATGCTTCGGCCACCATTCCAGAGGACATGCTTCCATGCTGATATAGCTTGTTAAGAAATAATGCATTAATTAAATTTGTGACTGAACTCCTTGGGAGAGAATTGTATGTCTCCGGCTCTATTTTACCTGCACTCTGCCATATATTTCTTGTTATAGCTGTCTCGGATGATGACTCAGCACATGTTCATTTTAAGAACACTTTTGCTGCAGATTTGACAAAATGCAAAGAAGGTACCAATGTGAGATTTCTAAAGATAGCTACAGCACTCGACCCAAGGTTTAAGAATCTGAAGTGCCTTCCAAAATCTGAGAGGGATGAGGTGTGGAGCATGCTTTCAGAAATCATACCACCAAAAAAGAAAATCAACTGTCTGCTGGTGGCATCTGACTCAGATAATGAAAATGAACATGCGTCGGTCCACATTGCTTTGGATTGTTATCGAGCAGAACCCGTCATTAGCAGAGACACATGTCCTCTGGAATGGTGATTGAAGCATGAAGGGACCTATGAATCTTTAGCACATCTGGCATGTAAATATCTTGCGACGCTGGCTACAACACTGCCATGAGAATGCCTGTTCTCACTTTCAGGTGACATTCTAAACAAGAAGCAGCCAGCATTATCACCTGCAAATGTAAACAAACTTGTTTGTCTGAGCGATTGACTGAACAAGAAATAGGACTGAGTGGACTTGTAGACTCTAAAGTTTGACGTTGTTTTATTTTTGAATGCAGTTATTTTTTTGTACATAATTCTACATTTGTAAGTTCAACTTTCATGATAGAAAGTGTACTACAGTACAAATGAAAATGTAGAAAACGTAGAAAACATCCAAAAATATTTAAATAAATGGTATTCTATTATTGTTTAACAGTGTGATTAATCGCGATTAATTTTTTTAATCATGATTACTTTTTTTTAATTGCTTGACTGCCCTAATACGTATACCTAATGGAGGAAAATGGAAAGGAGCATATACTCTGGCAAATCAAGTGTAAAAGTATAATTAAGCAGCCAAAAAAGCACTTGAAGAACAACTAGCAAAAGACACAAAAACTAGCAGCATTTTTTTTTAAAGTACATCAGAAGCAGGAAGCCTGTCAAACAATCAGTGGAGCAACTGGCAATCGAGGTGCTAAAAGACCACTGAAGGAAGACAAGGCCATTGCAGAGAAATTAAATGAATTCTTTGCATTGGTCTTCGCTGCAGAGCATGTGAGGGAGATTCTTTTTAGGTGACAAATCTGATGAACAGTCCCAGATGGAGATGTCAATAGAGAAGGTTTTGGAACAAATTGATAAAATTAAAGAGTAATAAGTCACCAGGAGCAGATGGTATTCACCTCAGAGTTCTGAAGGAACTCAAATATGAAACTGTAGAACTACTAACTATAGTATGTAACCTATTGCTTAAATCAGCCTCTGTACCAGATGATTGGAGGATAGCTAATGTGATGCCAATTTTTTAAAGGCTCCAGAGACAATTCTAGCAATTAGAGGCTGGTAAGCCTAACTTCAATACCTGGCAAATTGGTTGAAAGTATAGTAAAGAACAGAATTATCAGATACATAGATGAACACAATTCTTTGGGGAAAAGTCAACATGGTTTTTGTAAAGGGAAATCGTGCTTCACCAATCTATTATAATTCTTTGAGGGTGTCAACAAGCAGGACGACAAGGGTGATCGGGTGGATATAGTGTAATTGGATTTTCAGAGAGCCTTTGACAAAGACCCACAGCTAAGACTCTAAGCATAGGAAGCAGTCATGGGATAAGAGGAAGGTCCTCTAATGAATCAATAACTAGTTTAAAAGATAGAAAACAAAGGGTAGAAATAAATGGTCAGTTTTCACAATAGAAAGAGGTAAACAGCTGGGCCCACTAAGGATCTGTCCAGGGATCTGTGCTGTTCAACATATTCATAAATGATCTGGGAAAATGGGATAAATGGTGAGGTGGAAAAGTTGCCCTGTCTCAAAAAAAGATATATTAGAATTGCAAAAAATACAGAGAAAGGCTTCTGACACCCTTCTGACAGAATGCCTCCATCTCAGGCAAAGAGAGTGAGAAGTTCCACTTCATTCATAGTTGCATAGAACCCTGGGGCCGGCACCAATGCATCGTTCATAATGCGATACCTAGAGTACTTTGTTCCTCTGTAACAGTGGTGAAACCACCGAAGTGGCTTCCAAGTTATAATTTGCAATCAACTATTCTATTAAAAAGAGAAATGTTTTATTTTTTTGACCAAACAAGTAATACTGATGAACAGCATCAAATCTGTACAAAGGAACCATATGTCACAGATACCAAATGAGCCTGTTCTCACCTGCGTAGGGATTTCCCTACCCTTTCAATGTAATATTATATAACAATTCACTGTCAGCAGCCTAATTTGACAGCCCAACAGTTACCTAACTTCTTTCAGAATTTGCTTACATCTCCAATCTGCTCCCATTTTAACAGCAGAGCTTCAGCCTATTGGGAGTAGCTGCTGTTTACTTACCTTCCTAGTTTTGATTAAGAGAGAGAATAAGAAAAAGCAGTTTAGACAAATGTGCAATGGTGATTATTCCAAAGAATTTCAAGCACGCTGGAATGAATCAGCACAATTATTGTAGAAAATCACAGTATAATTTAAAAGGGATGCTGTCAATTATCAATCTTACTTTAAAAAAACCCTTTCATGTTCTGTGTTGTTAGTAAAATTTTCTCCATTTAGGCAGGGTGTATCTTTGGCTCTTTTTTGGCTTGGGCAATAATTCTTAGCGTGCCCTTCATCAGAGGCTTTCCACCAGGTACACAGGAAAAGAACACTGGCTATCAGCTGGTTGAGTTCTATTACTGTTTCATGACAAGTCAGAAAGTTTCTGCTTACTTCCTTAGAGGTAAATCCTTTGGTCTAAAGTAAAGTTAACTAAGCAAATTGTTTCTGCTAATGAGTACTCCCTAACTGGCTCACACGTGAATCTTTTCTTTCTGGAGTTCTAACTTCATTTCTGCTTCACATTTAAGTTTCATGAAATTCACATCCATAGTAAATGGAAAGTTTTCTGGTTGAGACTTTCAGAATATGTGTGTGTGTGTGTGTGTGTGTAAAATACTTTTTTCATACTAAGTGCCACTATTTTAAGGCAGGGCCGCCCGGAGGGGGGGCAAGTGGGGCAATTTGTCCCAGGCCCCGGGCCCCGCAAGCCCTGGCCCGGCGGCGGTCCGGGTCTTCGGCGGCATTTTGGTGGCGGGAGGCCCTTCAGTCGCTCTGGGTCTTTGGCAGCATTTCGGCGGCGGGTCCTTCAGTGCTGCCTAGGGTTACCATATTTCAACAATCAAAAAAGAGGATGGGAGGAGCCTAGCCCTAGCCCCGCCCCCTCTGCCCTAGGCCCGCCCCTTCCACTCCCTCCCACTTCCCGCCCCCCTCAGAACCTCCAACCCTCCCCCCACTCCTTGTCTGTCCCCTGACTGCCCCCTCCTGGGACCCCTGCCCCTAACTGCCCCCCAGGACTCCACCCCCTATCTAAGCCTCCCTGCTCCTTGTCCCCTGACTGCCCCCTCCTGAGACCCTCCCCCCATCCTAATTGGCCCCCTAGAATCCTACCCCCTACCTGTCCCCTGACTGCCCCAACACTTATCCACACCCCCAGACAGACCCCTGGGACTCCCACGCCCCATCCAACCACTCCCCACCCCATGACAGCCCCCCCCAGAACTCCCGACC